CTACCACATCCCGGAAACAGGGCCTACCTGAGGTTCTGCCCTTTTTCCCCGCAGCCCCCAGCCCCACTCAACTGCCCATGCAGCCCCTCAACCTGACGCCTGCTCTGGGCACACACAGAAGTGGGACCCCCCTGGCAGCCAGCATCCCCTTGCCTGTCACCTGGGTGCTCACAGCCCAGGGGCTGCTGCCTATGCCAGTACCAGCAGTGGTGGGCCTCCCTGGTCCCGCAGGGCTACCTGCGAAGTTCCCACCACCCTGCTGTGAGGCTCCTGCTTGCCCCTCACAGCCCCAGGCCAGTGTGGACACAGAGCCAGCCCCCTCTTCCAGGACTGACACCTCAGCTCCCCCAACTTGCCCCCCATCCCAGAGTCCTCTAGAAGTAGGTGGTAATGTTCCTGGCGCTCTTGGAGAGGCCCAGGTGGTCAAGGAGGCTACAGTGCCAAGGACATCTTCCCAGACCAACTGCCCTGAAGCAGAACCCTCCCGGCCCAGCCAGCTCTCTGCTTCTGTTGGCACTGGTCCCACAAATGGCTCAGGAGGGACACTGGAGCCTGGGGGGCCTCTGGGTCTAGAGAAGCCACAATTGTCTGGGTCCGAGAAGGGAGTCTTGGATCTGAGCCTGCTCTCCCTGGAGAGTGAGGCAGCCACACGGCAGTGGCTGAGGGGACAGCAAGGGGTTCATGTGCCCCCACTGGGGAACAGGCTACCCTACCAGCCCCCTACCCTGTCCAGCCTACGAGCACTGTCCAACCTCCTGCTCCACAAGAAGGCCTTGGAGCACAAGGCCTCTTCCCTAGTGGCCAGTGGGGCAGCTGGGACGCTGCAGGCCTCATTGGAGCTGGTGCGGAGGCAGCTGCAGGACAACCCAGCCTACCTTTTGCTGAAGGCACGGTTCCTGGCAGCCTTCACACTGCCTGCTCTCCTGGCCACCCTGGCCCCCCATGGCATCCGTACCACCCTGTCAGTGGCCACAAGAGCCAGCTCTGAGAGTGAGGATGAGGACCTCCTGAGTGAGCTGGACCTTGAGGACAGGGACAACCGGTTAGGCTGTGCGCCCAGTAGAACACAGACAAGGCCAGCAACCACAGTCCCGATCCAGGTAAGGGTGCCAGGCCCAACTGCACTTTCCTGCCTACATGTCCTTCCTGCCTGGAGTGGCAAGTTGGGGCTGATGAAGTGGCACAGGGATACTGGCTGCACATCCCACAGGAGGAAAAAGCTGGCCCACGCTGCAGAAACTCCGTCCTGCCACTCAGGGTCCCCCCCCCAAATGCTGGGTGGGTGTTGGGAAGAGCTCGTGGTAGCTGAGCTGGGCAGCTCTGAGCTCTGCCCACCACAGGCACACACCTGACCCAGGGCTTCTGCTCAGGATGTTTTCTCATCTATGTTAGCAATACTTTTCTTTCTTGTCCCACCAGAACCTTGGAACAAAATGTTGGGGACATTGTTGTGTCCTCCTGGCTGCCCCTAGGGAGCCACAGACACCAAAACCCCTGCCCCTGTTGCCAGGTGTCAGACCTTTGTGCCTGCCCAGGGTGGGCTTCAGCCTTGCAGGGGTACCTGTGGGCAGCAGCCTCCAGTGATGCCCTCCCCTTCCCCCTGAGGTGGTCGTTGTTCCCTTCCCAGGGGGCCAAGCTCTGTTCCTCTGCACTGTCCCTGCTGGCCCTTCCCTCAGAGCAGAAGGCTGGCCATGAAGGGTTTCCTGAAAGTGGGTTGGTGATGCCTTTGTGAGGGAGAAAGCCCCCTGTGGGTTCCAGGAAGGCCTGTTCAGCCCCTCCCTGGCTCAGCTCCTGCTGCCCTGACTGGGTTCACAGTGTGCCCTGAGTGAGGACAGATCCAAGAAACTGGCCTGTTCTGTTTGGGTCAGGACTGGCTAGTGCTTTCCCCTCAAGGCCCTTCTCCATGCCCCCATCCACTGCCCATTGTGGGGGGTCACTCTTATTTGTCCTTGCCTGGGCTCTTATTTCAGGGAGCTCTGGTTTCTAACGAGGGTGCTGTTCCCTCCCACTCGGATACCTCTGATGACCTTGATGTGCTCAGGACCAGGCATGGCCGGCATGCCCGGAAGCAGAAGCCCCTGCTGTGAGCAGCAGGTGAGTCCCAGGCTCTGCAACCAGGAGAGCTGGGTGCCTCCTCTGTTGGGGAGCACCAAAGCTGAAGCCGGGTGTGAGCGTCCACAGGCTGTTTGTGTGTATGGGCCTGGTAGGAACAGGGCCAAGTCACACAGGCTCTCTATCCTCCCACCTATCCACCCTATGTGCTTCAAGGCCTCTGACAGCTGTCCCCTCTGCCCATAGGATTACAAGGCTCCTCTCTCCCCTTGCTGAGTCTCCACTCCTTGGGAATGCTCTCCATCCGTCCTGGTGTCACTGATTATGTCATCTGCCACACGCTACCTGTGTAGTTATGGTCTACCCATGGCCTTGAGCCCATAAGAGAACTTTGCTTTTGCTCTGTCCCTTGTCCTGGACAGCAAGTGCCTTATAGGCCCTGGTATGTTTGGTTTGAGAAGAAGGAGTCAGGTCAGCCCACCCAGAGGCAAGAGCAGTTGCTTTGACCACCGGACAGGTCCTGGAGCTGGCAGGAGTGGCAGGATGATGTGGGGGGAGGGTGGCGGTGTCCTGGTGTTCCAGCTGGCCTTCTGTGCATCCGACCCTGGGTTCCAGTGCCTTTCCCCATGTGGCACAGTGACGCCGGCTGTACTGTCTGGGGTCTGGCTGCATGTACTGGGCCCTCCTGGAGTCGAGTGCCCCCCACCATCAGTGTGCTCGTGTGTTTCAGGACAAGGACATAGAGCCCGCACCTACCCCAAGAGCCCATCATCCACCGTACAGGAGAAAATAGCCAGGGTCTGGAGAGCTGCTGCCTGTAGTAGGCAGGAAGAAACCCAGCAGAGTGGCCACGTTGGTTGTCCCAGGCTTGGCTGGTCTCTAAGTACAAATCTCTGTTTGAAGGAATAAAGTAAATGTTCTATTTTTCAATTAAAAAGCAAGACAAGCTTTTGTGATTTTGTTGTCTTAGGGTACCGGGTGGTAGACCCAGACTGCCACCACCAGAATTGTACTGCCAGTCAGCTCTGGGAATGCATGGGACACCAGCTGGCTCGGCCACAGGGTCCTCAGCCTCCGCTGAGCCTTGAGCTCATGGCCCCTGAGCTCTGGAGAGGTTAGAGAAGTGGCTCCTGTCTGTTTTGGGGAAACAGGCTGTGGCTCTGGCCACACTGGCCCCAGGCAGCGTCCCCAGGACCAGTGGCCACCTGCCTGCCCACAGTCACAGCAGCGGCTCCCTCCCTCTGGTGGTTCCTTTCCCATGGGCATTTCCTGGCTCCGGGCCAGAGCCCAGCCATGTGCCTGCCCCTTTGCTTTCCCAGTCCTATCTCCTCATGTGGCTTCCCACTCGCCCAGGCCTGGGACCCTCCTGTGGCTTGGTTCTCATCACTTACTTCATTTTCTCACTGGCGATTTCCAGCTCAGAGAAGTAAAAGGAGGGGTGCCTGTCCAGGTCCTGATGGTTTGGGGACCATCACAGGCACTGGACCCGCCCTTCGGCTATTAGGCTCTGCTGCTGCAAGTGTACACCGCCACCAGTATCTAGTTTTTCTCGCCGATTCCTCTGATCTGCAGGTTGTAGAGTTTTCTTAAAATTTATTTCCAAATACTTGGGAATTTTCCAGATATCTTTCTGTTGCTAACTCCTAGCCTAATTCTGATAAGTCTGAGAATGTGAATTTAATGTATATTTGTGGTCCTGGAGATCAAACCTAGCTACAGTTCAGTGGTACAGTTCCCCTGACCTTTTTTATTTTATTTTGAGTCAGGGTCTTAAAAGTTTCCCAAGCTAGCCTCTAACTTGGAATCCTCCTGCCTCAGCCTCCTAAGTCCCTGGGATCACAGGCATGGCTGCTGTGCCCAGCAACGCCTTTTTTCTTCAGAATACACACCTGGGGCTAGGGGAGTAGCTGAGTGATGGAGCACTTGCTCAGTATGTGCAGGTCTGGCTTCCATCCCCAGCACTGCAAAGACAAAACCCCAGAAAAGATACCTTTATCCCTCATGTACAAATGGGATGCTCTAGGCAGGGGAGCCCCTGCCACTTCCCTGCTGTGACAGCACAGCCTGGGTCACCTCTGCAGTCGAGGAGGTGCTGCCAGAGCCTGGGGCTGGAACATCCCTAACTGCCTGCTCCTCCACACATGGGCAGGGCTGCTGGCCCTCCATGGAATCCGGTAGGAGAGCTGGTCTCGCAGGGTCAGAGGCCATGCAGGAAGGGAGTGGTCAGGGGAGCTTCCCACCCTTTCCACTCAACCCTTCTTGGTAGCTGTTGCCTCAGCCTGATGGGCAGGCCAGGTGTGGCTCGGTCCAATCAGTTCCTCCTGCTGAAGTGGGGCCTGGGGCTCTCCACACTCCTCAGGGACCAGGCTCCAAGGACCGCCCTAGATGTGGGCCAGAGAGGACTCTGTTGCCTGTCGCCCATTGGCTTTGGCCGAGCTTTGCCTGCCATCAGCTTCTGGGAGTAACCCCCATGCATCCTGGTAGAAAGGGAGACTGGCATGGGGGTTCCCAGTGGCAAGGACAGGGAGGACATCAGGGTGCCTCACCCCCTGTGGAGGGCTTAAATGTCTAGCCGGACAGTGGGCTGGCAGCAGTGCGCCGCAAACACGCTATTACTCCTGACCTCTGGAAGGTCACCCAGCCCTTAGACCATGTGCCCTCCTGGGTGCCATGGTGGGTTGGCCTCTTCTAGCCTAGGAGGGCCTTTGCCCTTCTTTCCACATTTTCAGGTGGCCCTAAGACCTGGGACCCTGTCCCTGGGCAGGCAGGCTCCTCTGTTCCCCAGAAGACTTCCACTTCCCTCCCCTGGGGCCACCCTGGCTGTCAAACCAGAAGCAGGCCACCAGGGACTGTCCCCCTGCGGGAGGACAGGCCTGCCTTAGTGGTGTTAACCAGAACACAGCAGGAAGTCAGAGCCTCCCTCTGAGCTCCACCCTCGCTCCCTCCAGCACCAGCTGCCGACAGCATCTCCCAGATACCCTGGCAGCACCAGATCCTGGTGTTCCCACGGCCAGGACAGCACGCAGCTGGCAGGTGGCTCCTGCAGGACCGAGGTAGGCTGGCCTGGAGCCCTTCAAGAGAGTGGCATGGGGGAAGGTGGCTGGGAGACCATAATCTTGCTGGGGACCCTGAAGCACATGCCTAGAGCAGTGCTGTGCTCCCACAAGCCAGCCATGCGGCCTCAGCGATTCCCGGGCCCTGCACGGCCACTCTGCAGAGACCTGTTCGCTCAGAGGAGTCAGTGGTGGGAGTTGGTGTGGGCCATGTGGATTCGGGCCAGAAAGACAGGCAGTAAAAGCCCAGTGTTCCCAGTACTGTCCCCTGGGCAGGGAATCGGTGTGGCAGGAAGCTGAGGAGTTATTCAGAAGAGCATGCCTGTCTCAAGGGCCAGTGGCCCAGCCAGCTCCTCTGGCCAGTCAGGGCCCCATCCCTGTCTCAGGGAGGTAGAGCTGCTTGGCTACTGCCACCTTGGCCCAGTCCTGAAGCCAGTCACTTGAGCTGTGCACTGGTTAAAGAAGATAGCAAAGGATGGGCCCTCATGGGAAGATCCCTTGTCTACAGCTGGCCTGAGTGTCCCCAGCCTGGCAGGAGCCAGGCCCTCTCTGGGCCAGAGAGTGCAGGGGTCACCAGTGCCCAGGACCTGAGAACCATGAGAGGGTGCGGCAGCAGCTTCCCTGGGCAACAGGCAACCCTGCCAGCCCCTCGCAGCATGCCCGGGTCTAGGCAAATGCCCCCGTGAGCAGCCCTCCACCACCCTCCCTAAACAGCTCGGTGACACGGGGAGCTGCCATGGAGCTGTTGCATCACCAGCCCATGGCTAGCGGAAGGACTGGGGGGCAGGGGCCTTGGGGGATGAGGAAGTCCTCCACAGCCTGGCTCCCTCCCAAGGCAAAGGTGGGAGGGCCACCAGCCAACCTGCCCCTCGCCCAGCCCGGATGCTGGACGGCCAGGACTCACAGTGCCATGCAGGGTGGCCCCGTGGGACAAACCTCCTCCCACCACTTTGGAGTGTCATGGTGCAGGGGAATGTTCTTCTCTTAGACCCCAGCTGTTCCTCTCATATTTACCCAGGTGATTCAGGAAGAAAGCAAGCTGGGCAGAGGGGCAGGGCAGGAGCTCAAAAAGGAGACAGCTCGGTAGCCTGATAAGGAGATGTCCCGATGCCTCTGCTGTCCCTGGGGAAATGGTCATGCAGCCAGGAATGTGAGGGTAAACCCCTCAGATGCCCCTGGGTGGGGCTCCCTGGTGGCCCTGCCCAAAGCCCTGGCAGGACACCTGTACACTTGGTGTGGGCTGACCCTGGGGGTAGACTCCAGCCAGGGGCACAGCAGGTGGGCATCCACCTTGGCTGCTCTCCCCAGCTCCAGCCACCAGCCTGCGGAGGCCATGTCGGACTATGAGAATGAGGACGAGTGCTGGAATGCCCTGGAGGGCTTCCGGGTCAAGCTCATCTCTGTCATCGACCCTGCCCGCATCACGCCCTACCTGCGCCAGTGCAAGGTTCTGAACCCTGATGATGAGGAGCAGGTGCTCAGTGACCCCAACCTTGTCATCCGCAAGCGGAAAGTGGGTCAGTGTTGCCCCCACGTGCTGCCCCAAGGATCCAGGCCCCAGGTGGCTGCTTTGTGCCTCCCTGGCCCTGGCCCACCCAGGTGGACTGTGAGCCCCAGCCTCCATCCTGAGGACGGAGTGGAGGTCCCCTCCCATGTTGCTGGAAGCTATGATTGAAGTGGCAGGGAGCTCACACACCACTAAGGCCCTGGTAGGCCTGGGGTGGGCGGGCAGCACTTTGTCCCCATCGTAGACCACCTGCAGGGCACCTCCATCAGATCATTACCCTGACCTCTGTGTTGGGCAGGCCAGGCGTGGCCAAAGACGGGTGGGGCGGGCAGGGGCACACACAGCTTGGGGTACCTCGTGCCCAGAATGCACCCCTCCTGCACCTTGGGAGCCTCCTTCCCAGCCCTGGCCCTGCCCCCTCCCGCCCCCAATGCCCCAGTCCCCAGCCCTGCCTCTCTGGCCTGCAGGCGTGCTGCTGGACATCCTGCAGAGGACAGGTCACAAGGGCTACGTGGCCTTCCTCGAGAGCCTGGAGCTTTACTACCCACAGCTATATAGAAAAGTCACCGGCAAGGAACCGGCTCGTGTCTTCTCCATGATCATCGGTGAGGGTCAGGGTGGGGTGACCTTGGGGGTGGGGTCCAGGCACAGGGTCTCCTCCTCGCAGGTCCTTCTGGTAGGTCTATAGTTCATAAATTGGGGGAGAAAGAACCTGGAAGTGGGCCAGCATGAAGATCCTGCCCCCACCCCCCCCATCCCACTCAGGGTCTGGGTGCCTGCATTGCTGGGGTACCCCTGGCCTCCAGAAGGGGAGCTTCTGCGGGTAGGAACCTCTCCCGGCCTCAGAATACCCACTCGCTGCGGGTTCCTCCTCTCTAAAGCCTTTGTCCCCACAGAGTCCTGTGGTTCCCAGCAGGGAAAGCGGGATGCTCTCCTGCCGGTAGCCCACTGGTTTGCTGCATCTCATTAAGATCCTTTTTAGCAGTGGCCGTACCTGTAACCCCAGCTACTCAGGAGGCTGAGGCAGGAGGGTCCCAAATTCCAGGCCAGCCTCAGAACTTAGTGGCCCTATCTCCAAATAAAAATAAAAAGGACTGGGGATGTAGCTCAGTGTAGAGCACCCCGGAACCCAGGGGTGGGAGCGGGGAAGATCTATTATATAAAGAGAGAAAGAAGGGCTGCCCTGAGCCCTGGCCTGGAGTGGCCTGGGAGAGGATGAAGTGTCCTGTTCATGTCCCCCAAGCGGAACAGAGACCAGGCAGAACTGGCCTGCTGACTCCAGCTGCTGGTCCTCAAGCACCTAGGGTCATTTAGGTTGGGCAGATGCAGGGGCGTGGCTCCATCTGACGCTGCCTGGCCCCCAGACGCATCTGGGGAGTCTGGCCTGACACAGCTGCTGATGACGGAGGTCATGAAACTGCAGAAGAAGGTGCAGGACTTGACTGCGCTGCTGAGCTCCAAGGACGACTTCATCAAGGAGCTGCGGGTGAAGGACAGCCTACTGCGCACACACCAGGAGCGGGTGCAGCGGCTCAAGGAGCAGTGCGAGGCCGGCGGCCGCGAGCTTAAGCGCTGCAAGGAGGAGAACTACGACCTGGCCCTTCGCCTGGCGCGCCTCAGCGAGGAGAAGGGCGCAGCACTCATGCGGAGCCGCGACCTGCAGCTGGAGGTGAGCGGGTCCCACTCCCGGGTGCACCCTGCTACCCTGCCTGGAGCCTGGCTGACTGGACCCCGGCGCCCCTGCAGGTGGACCGACTCAGGCACAGCCTCATGAAGGCAGAGGATGACTGCAAGGTGGAGCGCAAACACACGCTGAAGCTCAGGCACGCCATGGAGCAGCGGCCCAGCCAGGAGCTGCTGTGGGAGCTGCAGCAGGAGAAGGCCCTGCTGCAGGCCCGTGTGCAGGAGCTGGAGGCCTCCGTGCAGGTGGGGCTGCGCCAGGCTTCCACACCAGGCTTCCGCGGGCGGCTCATAGCTAGGGGCAACACAGGCACTGGCAGCCAGGCAGCCTGGGCCTCCCGTTCATAGTTGCCCTTGGCCGTCTTCAGGAGGGGAAGCTGGACAGGAACAGCCCCTACATCCAGGTGCTGGAGGAGGACTGGCGCCAGGCACTGCGGGACCACCAGGAGCAGGCCAACACCATATTCTCCCTGCGCAAGGACCTCCGCCAGGGCGAGGCCCTCCGCAACCGGGTAGGAGGGTTGGTGGCAGGCACCAGGCCTGGGGTGTTAAGCCAGTGCCCACTGGGCATCTGGAAGGCAGGGTGCTGGATCTCATTTAAATTCTCTGCTGCACCACTTCTGGGGGTACAGCCCTTTGGTGCGGGCTCTTTGCCTGCATTTGCCTGGGAGGGTGGGGGCCATCCCTGGGGCTCACAGTGCCTGTGGCAGAATTGTGGCCATGGCCAGGGTCTCTGCTGGGTCTGGCCCACTGTGGTCTCTGGCCCCTGGGGCCTCCTCCTGGTCCCAGCTGGCCTGACCAAATGTACCCTCAAGTGCCGTCCCTGAGGCCAGGTGGCCCAGGGCTGGTCAGCTGAACAGCCCCTCCTGCAGTGCATGGAGGAGAGGGAGATGTTCGAGCTGCAGTGCCTGGCTCTGCGCAAGGACACCAAGATGTACAAGGACCGCATCGAGGCTGTCCTGCAGCAGATGGAGGAGGTGGCCATCGAGCGGGACCAGGTGAGTGCCTCCTGCCTCATGCGGAGGTAAGGATGCAGGGAGGGAGCTGGTCCCCAAGCTCATGGCCCATGCAACATGGAGTCCATGGCCAGCTTCCCACCCGGCCCATCCCACTCGGGAAGAGCCGTGGTCACCCTGAGCCTCCTCCTTCCACGCTCCTCTCAGTGCTATACGTTAGTTTTCTTTTATATATCTTGTACAAAAGAGGGCTTTCCATCAGTCTTATTTTGCAAGCAACTATTTTTAATTTTATTTTTTGTGGTACTGGGGATTGAACCCAGGGGTGCTCTCCACTGGCTTGCACCCTCAGTCCTTTCTTTTTTCTTTTCTTTTTCTTTCTTTTCTTTTTTTTTTTTTTTGAGACAGGGTTTCATTAAGTTGCCCAGGTTGGCTTCAAACTAGTGGTCCTCCTGCCTCAGCTTCCTGAGTAGCTGGATTACAGGTGTGCCCCACAGTGCTCAGCTGCAAGTAGCTTTTTTTTTAACTTAAAAGAACTGTGCGTGCCTGTCTGGGGAACTCTTGTGGACCCGGCGGAGCATCCCACCACAGGGCTGCATCTGCACCCTGTCTCCCAAGCAGCTTCCTGGAGGCTTTTCCAGTTGACAGCTGGTGCTCCTGCCAGTGCTGGAGGGGGACTCATGACATGTATCAGGAGTCCTGAACCCAGACTGCTGGGAGTCACCTGTGGAGACACAAGGACCCCAGGAAAATAGCGACTCTGCCAGTCCAGCAGGGGCTCAGCCACCATCCCTGCCTTGGGCACAGAGTCCCAGGCCGATTCCCAGGCTGAGGGGCTGGAAAGCCTCTGGTGGGAGGGAGGGGACTGGCTGCACCCTGGGGCTGCTGCCCAGCAGCTGGTCCAGTGCCAGGCACTGGTGGGCTTGGCAGGGCCATGTTTGGCTGTCTCCAAGAGGTCCAAAGTCAGAAGCAGGGACAAGAGATAGGGAAGCAGCCATTTACCAGTCAAGTCCTGGCCAGGGTGGGGCCCACTGGCCTGTGGGCTTCTGATGGTCTCCTGGACTGCTGGCTGCAGTTGGGGTCAGAGTTCTGCCCCACTGTAGTGTGCCCTCCTCTGCTAGCACATTGGTCTCACACCTCAGGGACCCTGGGTAGGATACAGGCATAAAGGAGCATGACAGAAGCTGGACACAGTGGCCACACGTGTAATCCCAGTGAGTCTGAGGCTGAGGCAGGAGGATCGTAAGTCTGAGGCTTTAGCGAGACCCTGTCTCAAAATAAATAAAATAAAATAAAAAGTGCTGGGATGTGACTCAGTGTACAGCACTTCCAGGTTCAATCCACAGTACCAAAAATAAGATAAACAGAAGAGCACGACATTCATTTTTAAGAATCTTATGTAGCCACTGGTGGTCATGCTCTGGATGACCAACTGCATCCAGTCCTTACCAATCACAAGAACATGGATAGGGAACAAAGATGTGCTGGGTATCCTCTGGGAATTGAGGGACTCAAGAGTTGACACAGGGCCACAAGGTCTGCCCTGAGGTTGAGAATATGGAGATTTCTAACCTTTTTCCTCCCACAATACTGGAGATTGAACCTGGGGTTCTTTATCATTAGCTACATCCCCAGCCCGTTGTGGGTTTTTGTTATTGGTGGTGGTTGTTTGTTTTTGAGATAGTCTCACTAAATTGTTGAGGTTGACTTCAAACTTGTGGTCCTCCTACCTCAGCCCCCTGAGTTGCTGGGATCACAGGCATGGCCACTGTGCCCTGCGAGTTTTATCTTCTTCACGCTTGTCCACTTTCCATCATGTGCCTTCATTACTTTACAATCCCCAAATGCCATCTGTGTCCAAGGGAAAGGAGAGGCCTGCGCTGGCTGGTCCCACGCAGCTCCACTGACTCCGAGAGGTGCTAGAAGTCCTGCTGGGAACTTGCTTTAGAAGCTGGGAGTCATGCTGTAAGGAGAGAAGCAAAGAGAAGCCCTGGGCTGAAGGTGGCCTGTGTCTCCTGCAGGCCATGGCCTCCCGGGAGGAACTGCACACGCAGTGTGCCCGGAGCCTCCAGGAGAAGGATGAACTGCGCAAGCGGGTCCGGGAGCTGAGCGAGAAGGCGGATGAGCTGCAGCTGCAGCTGTTCCAGTGCGAGAGCCGGCTGCTGGCCGCGGAGGGCAGGCTCAAGCAGCAGCAGCTGGACACACTCACCCTGGTGAGCTGCAGGACAGGGCGGCCTGCTGGCCCAGCCCTGTGGTCCTGCCTGGGCCAGTCAGTGCAGTGAGGGAATGGGACCCAGGCGTGTGGCCAGGACAACCCCAGACCTTCCTTGTGGTGCAGTAAGGGCTGTTAACACAGCCCAGGCCCAAGCAGGACGTGGGACTGCTGGACACTGGCTGTGACCAAGTGGAGCCAGCAGGGTGGGGTGGTGAGGAGGAGGGACATTCTAGGCAGAGCCTAGAGAGGGGAGAGCCAGAGCTGAGGCATGTACGGGGGCTCCTGGAGGATGGGGCTGGACTGGGACCCTCGCCATACCCCACCCACCCCACGCTGCTCTAACCAACCCCTCTTCTTTGACCACAGAGCTCTGATCTGGAGGACAGCTCCCCCAGGAATTCCCAGGAGGTGAGCGTGACCCCAGGATGGTGCCCGGCTGGCCTCTGTGGGACTCCCAGCTTCCACCCACCCACAGCCACATTTATGCTCCCAGGGTCCCACTGAACTGAGCCTCCGCTACCCAGCTCTGGGCCAGGCAAGGGGAGAGGCCCATTTGCTGGAGGGTACAGTGAGGTCAGGGCAGTACTGCTGGTGCAAGAGCTCCATTTCCCAGCCCCCGAGGAGCTGCACAGAGGGGAGACAGGCACCATGCCTGGTTGGGGTGCAGGAGCTGCGTGGGCTGTGGGGTAGGTGGGGTCCAGTCCTGGTGGGGAGTGGTGGCTGGAAGGAAGGACTAACAGTGACCTGTCTTGTCTTTGGAAGCTCTCACTGCCCCTAGATGTGGAGGAGGATGCCCAGCTCTCGGACAGAGGTGAGCGGGCACACCATGCACCATACTCCTCTGGCCCAGAAGCACGGGGCTTGGCCTTCTGGTCCCCTTGAGCCCTGGCCTGTAACTAGTGCCCTGTTTCTTCAATCTTCACATTCTACCCAGCAGACAGGAAAACTGAGGCTTGGGGGTGTTATCAGGTCAAGGACACCTAGAGAGCAGAGAATCTGATTCAAACCTGGGGCCCAGCTGGCAGGATCCTTGGTCCAGTGAGGACAGGTTCCCCTGGGGCAGTGGGTGTGGAGCCTCCACCCTGGGCAGGCCCAGGGAACGCAGAGTAGAACAGGGCTCCCCCACCCTCTCCTCACAAAGCTTCCTGTTGCAGTGGGAGACACAGTAAGCCAGTGTCCAGGCTCAGAAGGCCAGGGATAGAGGAATGGGGCTGCATGCCGGGCAGGGGATGAGGAGCACCGAGGGGCCTGAAGAGGCTTCCAGTGGGCCAGGCAGGATTCTTCCTGGGCTCATTTTTAAATGGGGCTCTTAGCCCTAGAGACAGACTGGGGGTGGATGGGAACAGCTGGGTGCCTCTGGGAGTGGCCTGGATGTGGGCAGGAGCTGGGGAGGAGTCTGCTCTGGTAATGGGGGTCGGTGGGAGGTGGGGAGGGTGGTGGGGTACCCCAGGGAGGTTGCGTGGGAAGTCAGAAAGACTTCCTCAGGGTTGCCTGAGCCCCGCCTCCAAGCAGAGGCAAAAGGGGAAGAAGTGGCAGCAGATGGAGAAGTGGGGGCGGCCATCTGCCACAACCCAGAGATGTGAACTTGAGGCTACAGAGCCCCACGTGTTCAGGGGTGGCAGACTCAGGAGTAGCCAGCTCCCAGGGGGCTGTGGCAGGAGCCAGGCAGCATGGAGGCTGAGCTGAGGGGGAGTGTCAGCTAAGAGCAGCTCAGGAGGGGCGGCCAGGCAGGCAGGACACAGCCTGGCACCCCAGCCCCGCTGACCACCAGTACTTCTTCCCTAAGGACCTGAACTTTGGTCTGCCTAGATCCTGGGAGAGTTAGAGGGGTCCAGCAGCCTGGAAAGTTCTGCTTCCAACTGCGGCAGTATCCCAGCCACACCTCTGGAGGCCCTGGGCCCTCCTCTTGAGGTTGCCCCTGCCCACTCCTAAGAGCCACCACACCTGAAAATGCTACTCAGCAACTGGGAACACAGCACAGCCTGACGGGGCTTGGGGCCACCTGAGAAAAGTGTCCTGGAGCCTTGGGGTCCTTGTTTGTCTGTTTGTCGTTGGTCTTTGGGGGCAGCCAGCTCAGGAGGAATGGATGGTTGATGGAAGGAGTTGTGGGACTCTCTAGGACCAGCAGCCTCTGCCTGCCTCAGAAGGCTTCTCCTTGGAGTGAGGGGAGGCCAGGCTAGGGGTCTGGGCCTGTTTTCTTGCCTGACCATGGAGACTAACTGGCCATGTGAGAACCCAGGAGATCTTGCACTGGGCAGCAGGGAGGGGCCGCCATGCTGAGTGTGGCCCCCCAGGTGGGCAGGACCCACAGGCAAGCTGTCCTTTCCAGGAGGCCTCGCTGAGGGGGAGAGACAAGAGCAGCCCTTCGCAGCCCCGCAGAAGGTGTGGCTTTCACTAAACCCCCATGTAAGACCCCCAGGTTCCTGCAGCCCTCGGTGGGCTTCAGAGACTAATCTCCAGGAAGGTGGTGTCTCCACTAGGGCAGCTGGGGGTGATCCAAGGTCTCTGCTGTGGGTTTTGGGGTGGAGTGTCTGGAACATGAAGTGGAACCCCTACCTTCTTGGACACAGCTCCAAGAATGGGGGTTTGGGAGGGTGGGGTAGCCATAGAAGGACACCCCATTTCTGGTCTACCCAGCGGGAACTCAGCCTCCTTATCCATGGCACAGGAGTCCCTCAGCCAAAGGGCCATCTGGGTTGTGTACTAGCAAGAGCCCAGGCGGGAGCCTGAGCGCCCAGTTGCAGGAGCCCGCGCTGCCCTGTCATCAGAAGGCAGCCCTATGCCCGGGTCACCTCGGGGGGCAGCCCCGATGGCCAGCTTGGCTCCAGCCTTCTACAGCGTGCAGTCCGGGGCAGGAGGGCGCGGGAAGAACACGGCCATCCAGCTGCGACCGTGCCCTTCCGCAGGACGCTGGCGCGAGCAGCGGCGAGCCCCCGGAGAAGGAGCGGCGGCGCCTCAAGGAGAGCTTCGAGAACTACCGCAGGTGGGCAGGTGGGCAGGTGGGCAGGTGGGCGGGACGGTCTGGCGCGGGCGCGGCCCACTAGCCGCACCTGCCTCACCTGCGGCGTCCCTCAGGAAGCGGGCACTCAGGAAGATGCAGAACGGCTGGCGGCAGGGCGAGGGGGACCGTGGGAACACCACCGGCAGCGACAACACCGACACCGAGGGCTCCTAGTGCGCCGGGACCGTCGTGGGGCGGCACGCAATCCCCGCACCTGCAGCGGACTCCACGCCGTGGCTGACCTGGCCACAACAAATGAGCTGTTCTCCCCTCCGTGAGGCTGCCCGCGCACCTAATTTTTAAATGCGCCTCCTATTTTTACTGTACGTTACCCTTGTTTTGTGGAAACACCGGAAAGTGCAGTAAATAAAAATAACCTGCGAGCGAGCAGACTCGCGCCATTAGCGCCGGCGCCCGCAGGGCGGTGAGCGGACGCAGCGCGCTCAGGGCGGCACCAGGGGGCAGCAGCGCGCGGCGCGCCGGGTCGGGGGCGGAAGCTAAGGAGGGCCACGTCCGCCCCGGTGCCCACTTCCACCATGGCGGAAGCGGCCTCAGCGGCGAAGGGCGGGGTTGGAAAGAGCGGCGAGGGCAGTGGGGCAGAATGTTGCGGACGGTGATGGGCTGTATGCCGATGCTGCTGAGAGAGAGACCCCGGGGACCTGTCCTGAGGTGCCTGTGGGGCTGCAGGACCCGCCCAGAGGCCGAAGGAAAGCGGCGGGCCTGGCCCTCGGGTAGGCGGTTCTCGAGTTCCGGGTCGGGGCCCGCGGCGGCGCTGGGACGAGTGGAAACGGCGCATTACCAGCTGGTCTACACCTGCAAAGTGAGCACACAGGCGGGGAAGACGGACCGCCCTTGCCGCTAGAGGGCGCCAAGAGGAGAGGCTGCTAGGGGCGGGGCCTTCCCGGGGGCGGAGCACCCCGAGAGGCGGGGCCTTCACGGGGGCGGAGCACTCCAGAGGGGCGGGGCCTTCGGGGGGGGGGCCCAGTTGCTGGTCTGATGCTGCCCTGCTCCAGCCAGGTCTGTGGAACAAGGTCCTCTAAGTGCATCTCAAAGCTGGCCTATCACCAGGGCGTGGTCATTGTGACCTGCCCTGGCTGCCAGAGCCACCACATCATCGCAGACAACCTGGGCTGGTTTTCTGACTTGGATGGGAAGAGGTGAGGACACCTGGATGGGGGAGATGGGGCCGGGAGAAGGGGGACACTGGTGGCCTGAGCCTGGGGCCTGGGTGAGGAGCCCTCCCAGCAGCACACACCTGGCCATCTGGCCTCCCTGGGGAGCCCCTGCCTGGTGGTTTCTAGATCCCCTCAGCAGCCCAGTTTCCTTGTCTGTGCAGAGGTGCAGGTAAATCTGAACTTCAGGTGGATCATGGATAGCCTTTGCCGTCACTGTGCTACCCCCAATATAGCAGCTGCCAGTCAGGCCACCTGGGTGGCGCCTGGGGCTCTACCTTACTGACCAACCTCCGTCCTCTTTGATGGCCTTGCCACTTTCTGGTGTGGAACTTTCTTGTCCTTTGCCAATTTGTGTGCCTGGTCTGCAGCAGCTGGGAGGTGTGTGTCAGGCGGTGTGGACTGGCCCTGGCCTGAAGGTCCTGCTCAGAGGCCAGGCTGGCACCCCTGTCTGGGGAGCCGAAAGCTGTGCATTCTGACTTCTGAGCTCTGTATTCTCACATGAGGGAGGGTCGGTGACAGCAGAGTCTGGAAGACCTGTGGTGACTTTCCCAGAGTGACCCTGCAAGGTCAGCACACCAGGCACTGGGCTGTCCTCCCATAAGACATCACCAAGTAGAGAAGGGGCATGGGCAGGACTGCTGGGGACTGGTCTCTCCGAGAGATGAGTGGTCCCTTGGCTCCTGAGGTGGCACTTGCTGGCAGCCATGGGTTGTGAAAATGTGTGAGGTGCCTATATGGCCCTGATGCTGCTGGGTGCTGGGCAGCACTCCTGGATCGAGCTGGCCAGGGTGTGCCCTGCAGGGAGCCAGGTACAGGAGTGACATCCCCCCACTCCTGCCTCACAGGAATATTGAAGAGATCCTGGCATCCAGAGGGGAGAAGGTGCGCAGAGTGGCTGGCCAGGGTGCCCTGGAACTGATTTTGGAGGCTGCAGGGACCCCCAACCCCCCTGCTGCCCCAGAAGAGGGTGAAGGCGAGGATCCCGCCCACCCAGGCAAGACAGAGCAGAGCTGACTCACATGGGACTTCTGCCTTCCAGAAAGATACTTCCTTCAGCCCAGACCTCCCGGACTGGCCTGTCCCCTGTCAGTAAACAGATGTTGCCTGTAGCTCTCTGTCTTTCTTTATTGGAGTCAGTATTACTCCCATGAGCCCCCGGTGCTGGAGGACCCCAGGCTCACCACCATCCATCCTGCAGAGGAGTTACCTGTACTAGCCCACCTAGTACAGGAGTTACCTGTACTAGGGCCACGTTCAGGTGGGCAGGGACTGAGTCAGAGCACACGTGGCCCTGTCCGTCTGAGCATCCTGTCACCTGCTGTCCCCTGGGACAACGCTGGTGGCTCCCCTCCATGAGCCAGGGCTGACCTCAGTCCTGAGCCTAGGCCGTAGCAAACCAGGCTGCTCATGGTGGCTGTAGCCAGGATGGGCGCTGGGCTGGGAGCTTGGAAGGGAGTGCAAGCCAGGCGGAGGGTCCTCTAGGGGCTACCTGGCCTTGCCATGCCGCCTGGCAGGTTGGGGCCTCAGACACGTGGGGGACAGCAGGAGCCCCGTGCCCTTCCTGCACACGTGTGGCTTGTCTCGGCTTTGTTTGACTGCTCAGGATGTTCCTGTTTGGGAAGCGAGCAGACGCAAGAGCAGTCTTGGCAGAAACATTCTGGCTGCGTGACCTCCACTATCAATCACCAGCTTCGTCTGGCAAGTAGAGGCTGGGGACCTGGTGGGTGCAGAGGGCTGAGCCCAGCTCCACAGGGACACGCTGTGTGGGAACCTGAACTGGTGATTAGAAGCTCATGCCTCACCCGTGGGAGGCTGGGTGCATCTGCTTCGTGTGCCCTGGCTCGATTACCCCCGTCCTTCTCCTGGCAGACAACCTGCTATTAGGCCCACCAGAGCCTCCCGGGCCATTTGTGGAACCTGTTATCGCTCTCAAGGCTGAGCCAGCCCCACCCCAGCCTGCCCTTCTGTGGAGGGCACTGAGGTTGTAGGGACCAGCGGGGGCTCCCTGGGTGCCTTGAAGTGCAGGAAGCCGCCCCCGGGGCTGCAGACCAGTGTTTGGGAAGGCCCAGTGCTGGCCACACACCAGCTGTAGAGCTGGATCTAGAAAACCTGCTCCTGCGGGAACCGAGGCCCGTAGCATGGACTTGTGTGTTCACTGTGCCTTTTCTGTGCTGATGCTTTGGCTTCTGGGCCTCACTGTCCCTGGAGGGCCCACCCCCACTGGACAGCAAAGGTTGTGAACCCTGCTTCCCATGTGCCGAGTGGTCTGTGCAGAGCCCACTCCCCATCCTCCTTGACGGGCTTGCACCTGGGCCATCGTGCCATACCCTCATCACCCTGGGCCAGGTATCGGCTAACTGGGCAACCTGTGTGCCCAGAGCCCGCCAGAATTCTCCAAGCAAGCCAAGCCCAAGCTGGTTACCCCTCGTCCCTCCTCCCCATGGAACCACTCTGCTTTGACCCACCATTGCTTCCCACGCAGCGTGGCCTGGCGTGACGGACCGCATCCTTTCTGCTGTCAGCCTCCTGCTGTCAGCCTCTACACATGAGCAAAAAATGGAGCCTGTTGGGAAGTGGTTGGGGACTCAAGAGAGCCGCAGAGCCTCCTCTGGAGGACACACAGCGCCAGGCCAGCTGGGTCCTGCGGTCAGGGAAGTGCCCGGCCACACAACAACCACAGTTATTTTTTCAGGTCTTGGCCTTCGCAAGCTCAGTGAGCCATGCAGGACTGTGGGCCTCTGAGAGATGACAGGCCCAGTGGGGCTGGGTGGCAGGACCTTGGGTCACAGAACCCTTAGTGAGCTGGCTCTCACAGCATCCCCGTGCCCCATGGGCACCTCTCCCTGCTGTGGCCACCTCACCTTTTCTTCTTTTCTCCTCCCTCGGAACAGTGGTGACCCCCTGCTTACTGAGACTGCACCCCGCCAGCTCCTGCCTCCAAACCTCTGGGCCAGCTCTTCCCTGCTAGCCTGGGGGAACCATGCCCAGTCCGCCCCTCCCAGCCCTCGGGATGTCAGGCCTTCTGTGGTCCAGGCGGGTATGTGGGGGAAAGAAGTCCCATAGTCCAGGCTGGTCCTGGCAGCACAGTAGGCACTGGGAGTGGCTACACCCTCTGGTCGCTGCCCGTCCCATTTAGAGAGCCTATATTCTCTGCCAGCCCCTGCTCACCATCCCTAGACAGCAGGGGAACTGGAGCTGTCTGACTGCCTCGTCTCCTGGGTGGGGACCCTATGCGGGCTTGAGGTGGCCTGGCCTGGGCCCGCAGTGCTGAGGGCTCTGAGAAACTGTGCCAGGCCTTTAGGAGCTTCCTGGTGGGACGTGAGCACAGCTGTGGCTGCCTGTGCCCAGCTGCCGGCCCTGGACGGGGCCCTGTGGGGTGCCCGCGGCCCGCACACCCAGCATGCTGCAGGTGCTCTCGGGGAGTCTGGACCTGCCTGTCCGGGATCCTGTGGTTGGGGGGGGAGTCTGCATGGCAGCCCCAGGGGCTGCCCAGTGGGGAGGGCTGCTCTCAAAGGCCCCCCCCCCAGGTACGTGGCTGAGCTCCCAGCTCGCCCACCCTGGGGGCCCTGCCTGAGGACACGGACACAGTGCAGGGGGACTGCTTAACCTGAGCCCAGCCTTCCATCATCAGTGGCAGCAGGGCCCGGCCCCAGATGCCTATGGGTGTTTGGGGCAGGGGCTGGGTGGTAGTGGGTGCTCTGCACATGTCCAGTGGGCCCAGCCCCAGGAAGGCCCACCGCTGCTTCTGACAGAGACGGCATTTGCCTGGCACACTTTATTTCTCGAGGGTGGATGGGGGGCTGGGGGGGACGTACCTCTCGGGCTGGAAAGGACCTGCTGACAACACAGCGTAAGTGTGAGCAATAAATACGCACGTACATTCAAGTATGAGGGCTCATCCCCAGAGGCCCGCCTCAGAGTGGTCCCCTGCTGAGCCCAGGGTCAGCCCTCCAGCTGGTCCCCTGCCTGGTGCCCAGGCTATAACATGGGTGGGCACAGGCCCTCCCCAGGCTTGGGGAGGTA